AAAAGTGATGATGTTTACACAATGGAATTCTATTCAGCAGTAAAGAAAGATGAAATAATGAAATTTGCAGGTAAATGGACGGATCTAGAAACTGTTATACTAAGTGAAGGAACACAGACTTAGAAAAACAAAAGACACATGTTCTCCCTCATATGTGGATCCTAGCACCAAATCCTTTTAAATTCCAGGTCCTTATACTAAGATAATGTGTCTGCATTAAATAACTACCATCATCATGACTTCAGCTTAGCCTGATCAGTAAACATCATCACAGGGTTGTGCTCCTTCATTAAAGGAGGGCCAAGCAGGGTCATTGGACCCTCACAGGATTATCCAGCCACTCTTCCCAGCCAATTATATGTAATTTGACCCTAATCACACATGGCCTCCTGGATTTGGGGAGGGCTAAAGTATACAATCTGGGGAAGTCTGGGAAAAGACAGCATGACCCATGCTGGGTTAAGGCTTTCCAATGTGCATACCCTCAGATCATACACCTCAGCAACCCCTCAGTTATCTCAGTAAGTAAGCTTAATAAATTCATTGGTTCCCCAGTAAAACTTAAGTGAAACCTTGTCTTGACACTAGAACCTTAAAAGGGAATAAGCATTGCTTAGCTTCCATATGAAAAGAAGTCTCACATCCGATTGTAGATTTATTTCTTAATGCTATTATGTCTCATAATTATTTTTTTAAAAAGACAATGAGAATGCAAAAGATGTTAAAAAGATATGGGAATGGAGGTATTTTCCAAAATAGAAAAAATGAGAAAGCCTAAGCAAGTGATGGAGGTCTGCTTAGGTTTGTTATATATAAAGAATGAGAAAAAATAATATACACACAATCTTAAAATAATATACACATAATCTTAAAATTTCTATCGTCATAGTTTAGTCAACTAGTTTAGGGAACAAAATATATATCTAGTCAAGGTTTATCTGAGACTTTTTGTTTTTTTCACCCAAGCCATATTTACATAGCACATGATAATTAAAAGTACCAGGCTGGTGGAATTAACTTTATTGGATGTTTAACAGCCATAGTTTGAGGCCTATACTAATGTGGTCAGAGGGTCTTAAAGGACAGTATTTACCCCCTGCCCTCCAAGGCCAACTAAGTTCCAGGGGACTGTCGAACATCTCTCAAAATGCCCTGTAACTATGATGAGTCACCTGTCCTCTTGTTCAGGGAGGCCATGGAGACCTGACGAGATGGACTTGAACCAGTGTCCAGGCCACAAAGAGGAGGGTCAACTCAGAGGAAACACCTCATTCATTCTTCCAAGTGAAGCCAGACATGTTCAAACAGGACCTTTGACTTATCTTCACATAGATGGAACTGGTAAAAGAAAGGAGCCAGGAGCTTCTCCCAAGCCCATGTGACCCCTGAAGAAAAGATCCACAAATGACCTTCAGTGTAAAAATAAATTGATTTATGTGGGCCAACTGTATGGTCTTAAACACCCAAAAGGAAAGTATAACCAAAGAGTAAAGTCATCAGTATACTTCTTTTAGAGTTCATGGGATTACAATTCCAAGACTTTAGGCTTAAGTCTATATAAAAAGTTATTTAGATGATTATTTCTCATTGATGATTTTGTTCCTAACCAGAAAGTGATGTTCAGATGTAAGACTTCAGATCTCGGTCTGAAGTACTGTAGTGCCCACCTGTAGCTAAGAGAGACAACCAGCTATTGTTCTAAAATGATGGATAAATTTGTTTTCTCCCCCTATTTAGGAGCCTTTGAGAGGGAACTGACACTGATTCTAACCACTCCAAACAGCTATCAAAATACATGAAAGCAAATCTTGAATCCATCACTCTAGAGTCCAGCCTTGGAAGACAAAAGAAAAATGAGGAAGAATCCAATTTAGGGATGCTTTTGGAAGCCTTTGTCAAGAAATTCCAATGGACTCTCATATGAACATTTGAAAATTGCCCTCTTCTGACTTTTTTTCTAGTTCCCTGTCTAGAAATTCAAGGACTTTCTTTTCCCCTTGGAGATAAGAGTTACATAATTTAAGAGTCTTTTAGATAGACCCACTGAAGGGTACTCCAATTGTCTCACCCTGCATCCCTGTTCAGCATGGAAGAAGCCAGAGCGGTCTGCGTCCCTATTCCCTATCGACAATTTAAGTAACCCCTTCAGAGGATGGTGTGATAAGAATAGGATGTAGGAGTTGGCTAGGCAGTTAGGGTAAAAAGACCCCAAAGAAATGTAGCCAGTTTCTTGGCTAAAAGTCACTGTCCTTGGGCATCTTAGCAACATACTCCATTCCAAAGACCAAAAATTTCTAAAGTATTTGGGAACTTTTATCTAATCCTTAAAAGATTTTAGGGTTACCTCTTCAGAGGGGGGAATGTTAGAGCAGCAAAAAGCCCCATAAAAATAAATAAAACGAAGAAAAAACAGTGATGGGGAGATATGAGAGGCGTTAGAGGGGAGGGAGTGGGCATGGATTTGAGCAAAACACCTTATATGCATGTATGAACTACTCAATATAGTTTTTTTAATTAAAAAATTAAACAAAGCACTGAAATACCAGCTCCTGAGAGACCACTGATGATAAACACCACATGAAAGATCAACACTTTGATGTTTAATCATTTATTTCTCATTCTGTTGCTCATGTATCATCATAGTACAGATTTCTGCTATAGATTTTCCATAAGCCATCTCATATATTTATTTTCCAACCTGTTTGAAATTTTTAGCTTATGTAAGGAAAATGCCCCATGAAATCCATTCTCAATGTGGTCAAGGGTCACTTGAACTCCAGCGTTCTGAAGCCGTGTGACATACATGAGTCCATCATCTCTTAGGACATCATACTGACAAGTGATGATATAGGTCAGTGGTAAATGACGTAATATATTGTCATCAGCCAACAGGGGGGATGCCCGCACATCTAGAAAACCTGGATATTTTTTACCCAGCTCAGAACTACCAGGAACAGGATTCTTATAAATGTGGCCTTTCTTAAACCTCTCAGGGAGCCAGGAACTCCAGTTCACAAACTTGAAAAGATGGGTCGATTCCATTGGTACGTGTTGGTTGAAGAGCATGGATTTCTCCAGTGATTGGTCTGTTGTAAAGTATTCACTCCAAAACCTGACCATGACTGATCTGGATAAAATTGGGCCATGTGAGTTTTCTCGATATGATGGTAAATCCAGATCAAGAGCCTGAAGGGCAGGATATATCAAGGCCTGGATTTTGAGTTTTATCTTGACATCCGGGTCTTTTATAAGCTGGAAAGCAATTCAAAATTAAAATTTTTAGTATAATATTAAATAAAATTTTAAAGTTTTTTAATATTAAAATGTATATTTTCATCTGAAAAGAGTATATATTAGATAAATTCGGATTCTACAAAGATAATCAGATAAACACATCTCACAGAACTTTTCAATTTTGTAGATTGCAGATGTCTACTGTTTAATACTATTGTTGTCATTACTAAAATAATTTGTAATAGCTTCCTCTGGTTGGGAAAGAAAGCATCTAATCTATAATTATAAAGTAAAACACTCTTAAAAATCAAGAATCATTGCCAGAGACATAGTATGGTAGTATGTGCCCATAATCCAAGCACTCAGGAGGATGAAGAAGGAGGACTGTGGTTTTAAGGTCCATGTTACATAGAAAGATCCTGTCTCAAAAAAGAAGAAAAAAAATGGCCATATGAGGAGAAAGTCATGTTCTGTAAGTTAAAAAGTGAAAGTGTATATAGTATGTATCAGTAAGTATTGACATCTAAGGGAAGAATCAAATATATAGGATAATTATTTTATGTTTGTTATAATAATCTATATCACTATTTCATTAATGTTTACTTATAGCAAAATAACTCACTTAGGGTAGAGCAGTTGACAGGCATAAATACAAGAGCATTAAAGTTAAATAAGAAAACATTAGGATTTCCGGTTCCATTGTTATAATCTCAAGTATGATGCATTGTAATTTTTTGAATTTCAAACGTATAAACATTACTAAGATAATATTATCTATAAGTCTATATGCATATTCAATATGTACTGAAAATGTCTTATTGAAAGCTTGTGTGATCAAAATATGTGATGACCAGTAATAGAGATAACAGTTCAGCAGATGGTTTATAGCTCTTGATTGGTCCTGCAATATGAAATGGCCATTTATATCTCATAATTGAGGTACTCCAAGTATAATCTCTGATCCAGAACACTGCCTCAGGACTTGTGAGAGACACAATTCTTGGGTCTGAATCCTGCCTCATTGAATCAGGGGGTGAGCAACCATTCATCTGTGCTTTAAGAAATGCGTCTAGTAATCAGATGCATGCTGAAATTGGAAAGCCACTGGGATAAGCCATCAAAATAGTATTGGATCCACACGTGCCCTGATGCTTCCTAGAGCAAACTGTGAGGAAAAAATTAGAAGTCCATTAAACTTACACTAAGGTTTTGTTCACAATATTGAAGAAAACAGAAAGCACAGCACTCCGGAATTCTTTCTCTTTGTACATCTATAGTGTTTTTCAAAAGAGTAAAAATGAAAACACTAACAGTCAAAGCAAGTAGCCTTTAAAATTAGGCTATTAATTAGAGCTACTTAGCAAAATAAAATGCTTATATCTACTAGTAGATTGTTTTATTAAAAATGATATTTAATTTAAATAATCATTTTGGTGTTATGTATTAGGTAAGACTGCCACATTCCGTTTGGATCATTAGCTAATGTGAAAGGTGCTATTTATGTTGCTTGGGATGTGTTAATAATTAAATAGTTAATATGTATTTAATTTCAGATTAAGAAAGACTGCAAAAATATTTATATTTGTGAAACTCATCTTTTCATATAGTTAGACCTTCATTTATGGTCATTATTAAAATTTTTTTGAGATAAGGTATCAGGTATGACAGGCTGACCTCAAACTTCTTATATAGCTAAGGCTAATTTTGAACTTCTGATTTCCTTTTTTCCATCCTTGTAATGATGAGATCACAGGAGTTACACCATACCTGGCTTTGTAGAGTGCTGAAGACTGAACACAAGGTATCATGGGTACTGGACAAGCTTGCTATCACCTGAGGCATATCCCCATCCCATTTGGCAAAATATCTTTAAAGCTGTATTTTAATATTAAATTAAGTATGCATAAATAAGTGACAAATTTTATAAAACAGAAATGTAAAATAAAATAAATATACTTAAGTTTCCATGAGTTTACTATAAGCCCTGAAATGATTATGCTCTTTTGTAATTCCCAGTAACCACCATCATTCAACTGAAACTATGTTTTTTCTGTGCCTCACAGTGCAAAAGTAAGGAGTGGTTTATGATTTCCCATGTCAGAGGGCTGTTCTCCCCTTTAACCTGTTCTCTCTAAACCTGAGAAGTTGTCCACACTCATCTTAGACAAAAGCATTCTTCTGATTAGTATGTATGTTTAAGGAGGAGAGCACATTATTTGCTAGGGTTAACTGTGTGGCAGTTCACGTTTTTGAGTCTAGAAATCTAGATCATCTATGATGATCTATAGCATATTATAATCTACTTATCCAGATTTTGAGTAATTATGAAGGATAGTTATGTGGTTTAAAATTATAGAACCAGAAACACGTAATAGAAGGGCTAACTACGTAAGAGTGAAAATCTGAATGTGTAATGAGATGATAAGAGATGCAAGTTTGGATATTCCTTTAGCTCCAAAAGCTCATGTTTGTTCACTGTTCTTCATGTTGTAGCAGGCTGTCTCTCAGGTAGTAGTGCCTATTTAATGAAGAACTCAATTTTTGAAAAATTGCATGCATCTGCTCTACAGGATAATAGGACAAATGACAGACTTTGTATTTTCCTTTGGTTAGAAATGAAGAAGTCATGTTAAATGTACCAATAAAATCAATTTTATTCATAATCTAGTATGTTAATTATGTGTACATAATGTTTTTACTTGATAACTAATACACATATACTTTCAGATAAATGTTCTATAATATTATGAACAGTTCATTTTTGAAAATTATTTCTTTGTCAAGCAAATAATATCTATAAATTTGTTAACAATTTTCAAGTTTTTGTTTGCTAATACTTTTCCTATGGACAATTTAATTATTATGACAGCAAGAGATACCAAGCAGGTTTTCACATTCCCCAATAGTCAATAATAGTCAGTTTGTTCTCTAGTTATGGAGACTGGTATCACTGATCAAATTTACCAGTATAACCCCTAATATAACAAGACAGAATAGTGTCTAAGTATAATGACCATGTTTAAACAACTATTCTAAAAATTGATTTTATCATAATAAAAACTACATTGTTTTAGAACAAGTACAGAAACACTATATAAAGAAACACTATGTGAAAACATGTTCCTCATATCATTCTATGTATTTCTCTAACATTTTAATATAGAAATTAAATCGAATGCTTATACTGATCTTTTTCATGTCTGAAGTAAATATAATTAAGTGTAGGGTCTCAGACAAACCTGAACAGCATACCTGTTGGGTCACTGCTGCAGCTAAGTTCCCACCAGCACTGTCTCCAGAAACTCCAACCCTTTCAGGATCCACACCATAGTTTGAAAGAACATCTTGTTGTAAGAACCAGCGTAAGGCATTATATACATCTTCAAATTGACTTGGAAAATGATGTTTGGGGGCTAATCGATAGCTGTGTGCAGAATAATAACGTCAAATTATTGAGTTTTAATTAAAATGTGTGGACTTTCTCTAAAAGCACAATTTTTTCTTTAAGAAATATTAACACTTTTGTTAACTCTATAGCCAAGAATAGGCTCCATCCTTATAATAATATTTGCAATGAAAACTATAATAAGTGTAATTATTTCTATCATTTACTAGTAAGTAAAATGGAATAAAACTTTTGAATTTGCCTTAAGGCAAAAACAGAGAGAAAAATTTAAAAGGTAATAATTTCCCCTAACTTCTCCCTGAATGCTATTTCAATAACCTTTATACTTCTTTGGAAACCAGTCAATGGCAAACAAATTTTACAAATAATCTGTTTGAACTTTGTCTAATAATTAATCTGGTATGTGTTCAGGTCAGTGTGTATTATTAATGACTTCATTGTTCACTCACATTGAATTGATGTTTTAGTAATTATTTACCCAGAATGCTATTTGAGAATAGATCTTGCATGTTTCCACGTGCATCCTGAGGACTAACTGCTCTGTTAGGATTGTACCGTGATATATAGTTTTATTTCTGCTTGATTAAAATTTTGGTTTTGTTGTATGTTTCGTTTCTATCTTTGATTCTCTTCTGACCACTCAAGTTCACTTCTCAATATTCACTCTCTTAATTTCACCTGAAAGATTCCAGGAAAAAACAAGGAGTGGCCAAGAGTGTCGATTTCATTATGATTAATCCTTGTTTGTGTTTTAGTACTTTTCACCATTTGTGAAGAAAATGTTAAATGGTACCAAAAAAGAATGTTGATTTCTTGCCATGTGAGGGAGATGATTAAAAATCCAAGAACCAGGGTCTTACTTGGTTGACACGACAACAGCATTGAGTCTATCAGCTGTCCGCCTTGACAAAACATCATACGGGGAATAGGCTGAAATAAAGAACAAATCACAGACTGGCAAGTGAAATGATGGATGATTTTTTCAGTAAAAGGAGAAAAGGAGACATGTTAGCACACATTATTCCTCACTGAGATGCTCTAAGAGAAATGTTTCTACAGTTTTCCATCTTCTGTCATCTATGTAGAACGAGAATTCTGCTCAAGGCTGTTTACACACAGATATTGCCAGTTTCATACTCTTTTCTCTCTATTTTCACACTGCCTCTTCTAAACTAATTTCATTCTGCTTGAGATTTAATATCTTTTCTTGTCATTTAGCAGGTATTAGGTACTGGAAGTACAAATAACACCCTGAGTTTAAGGAACGTAATCTTTACTGAAGACAGAGGTAGGAAAGGGCAGATATATGTACCAAAGACATCATAGAAAACAATAGCTTCTCTAATGGATCTGTGCAGAAATTATTACTTGGAAATTGTACTAACATTCAAAAGGTAAACAAACAGACAAACAAAAACTACCAGTGAGAAATAAAGAGAAAACCTAAGGCCTGATTTGTGTGTTTATACATACTGAGCAGAGAAGAAAAAAAAGTGGTTTTGGTATGTTTTGATTTGTTTGCACTTGAGTTTTGTGGAAGTGCATGAGTTGGGAATGGGTTACACATATGAAACTGGATTTAAGCAAATATTTCCTTTAGAGACAAAGTCACTTAAAGATGAACCAGAACCCACCAGTAACAAGTGGTTGGAGAAATCTTAATGTGCTAAAGAAGAAACTTCAAGACAGAAAGATCCTGTGAAGCCACACAGACATGTAAAAGCAAAGGTTTCTTGTGATTATTTTCAACAGCGGGTGTATAATATTCTCAACCAGTCAAATACATACTGTGATGGTTTGAATGAGGAATGCTCCACTAGGATCAAAGTACTTGAACAGTTTTTCCTCAGTTGGTGGTGCTGTTTGTGGACGTTTAGGAGGTGTGGCCTTGATGGAGGAAGAACGTTACCAGCCATATGCATTTCCTCTCTCTCTCTCTCTTTCTCTCTCTCTCTCTCTCTCTCTCTCTCTCTCTCTCTCTCTCCTTCGTGTCCCTGCTTGAAGATGGGAGTGCTCAGCTTTCTTCTCTGGCTGCCTCCTGCCATGCCCCCCACCACCATGGACTTTTATACCTCTGGAACTATAAGACTAATGAATTCTTCTGTAATTTACTACGGCTATGGTGTTTGATCACAGCAACAGAAAAGTAACTAATACAGAAGTTTGTGCCAGAGGTGTTGCCATGAAGAACCTAACCATGTTGGGTTTTGGAGGATTGCCAAGGACTTGGGAAGTATGGACTAGAAAAATGATTGAATGTTGTAAGCAGAGCTTAATGAGTTGTTCTAGTGGAGGTCAGGCTTAAGAAACCACAGAGGGAGAGGGAAACAAGAACTTAAACAGCAGTTGGAATATTTTGGCAAGGAATCTAGCTGCTGTCTGTCCAAAGACTAAGAATTTGCTTGTGGCTAAATTAAAATGTAATGGACTAATTTATTTGGTGAAGAAAATTTCAAGACAGCAAACAGTAAATTGGTTGCATATGTATTAATACTCAATATTATACAGGTCTACAGTGAAAAAGAACAAGTAGGGCAGAAGAAAATGTAAAGCCTAGACAGAAAAAGGGCACCAGGAAGTTTAATAATATTGCAGCCAAGGAATGTGAAGGAAGTGACATTCTCTTTGATAAGGAGACTGGAGTCATCAAGGATATGTCTTCAGATATGCTCTTGAATCATTGTCTCAGGGTAAGGTCCCACTCAGCAAAGCCTTCAACTTGTGAGAGGAAAAGTTCTAAGAGGTTTCCTGCTCCTAGAAAACCACAACATACAGAAGCTTCTAATAATATGGATGAAGGGGGCCAAGGTCCATTCAAATCTGGCAGCTGAACTTGGCAGGGTCATTCATGTGATATTGGTTTTAGAGGCATGAAAGATGCAAGAGTGATGGGTCATTGATTCTGCCTCCATGGTTTCACAGAACTGCCAAAGCCAGGTAGAATGTAGCAGGGGAGTCCCTACATAAACAGACCCTAGGAGAAAAAGAGGCCTTGAGGGGTCATTGCATGAATCTGTGAAGGTGAAGCCTGGTTGGCAATGGAGACACCAAGATACTAGAGATGCCAGAGCCATGAGACATCTATCAAAGAGAGCCGTATACAGGGGTGGTATCAGCCTAAGAAATGTGGCCCAAAGCTAAGCAGGAGGGGCTGAGCCATCTAAGCCCTTAGGAACTAAAGTCCCAGATATCAGACATGGTGCTACAGGATTTGATGTTTGCCCTACTGGCTTTTGGTCTTGCTTTGGTCCAATATTTCCTCAATATGTCTCAGTTCCTACCTTTTGTAATGGGAATTTGTATTCAGTTCCATTGTATGTTGGAAGTACGTAGCTTACTTTTAATTTTACAGGGGGTTAGTTAAGAGAGTGCTTTGCCTTCACAAGAGTTTTGACTTTGGACTTTTGAACAGTGTTGAGACTGTTTAAGACTTTAGGGATTTTATTTTTGGACTAATGCATTTTGCATTATTATTTGGTCATAGCCCTATGGGGGCCAGGGAATGGAATGTGATAGTTTGAATGAGGATTGCTCCCCACATGCTTCAAATCTTTGAACACTTTGTTCCCAGTTGGTGGTACCATCTCAGGAGATTTAGGAGCTGTGACTTTTCTGGAGGAAGCACATCACTGAAGGCGACTTTAAGAGTTCATAGCCTTGCCCATTTTCAGTCTGCCTCCCTCTGCTTTCCATGCCTGCTTGAAGATACGAGTGCCCACATTCCTGCTCCAGCCTCTCGGTTGTGATGGACTCATTTCCTAGAGCCACAAGCCCAATAAACATTTCCTTAATAAGTTGACTTGATCATAATATTTTATCACAGCAAAAGAATAATGTTAAACTTCTATTCCTTCATATGAAAAGGCTGTGTGCATTTTGAATAAGGATATGAATGTGTATGTTTGTCTAATACTGAAAGAGAGCACCAGGCAAATGTCAGCTTTTTAACAGAACTTAGTCAACTTAGCTCTTTGACCTCAGTAAAGACATTGTTTTTCTTTAGGAATGTGTTAATAAAAAAGGTTTTAAGAATATTTTCTGGGCACTAGATACACAAGGAAACTAACGATGATACATCATGGTCATTGCCAACTGAAGCATTTACTGAGCATATTTAGTAAATGACAGACAAGGTCATTTCACTTCTTTCTCCAATTTATATCACCAGTCTATATCAATATCAATTAATTCCTGTTCTCTTCTGTAACAGAGACAGACATGGCCCCCATCCCCTGTAATGTTACCTTTTACCTTCTCAACTGAGCTTCCATCCATGTTCTCTAGGGTAAATGAACTGAAATCCATTCTGCCAGCTTTCCCCTTCACATTTCAGGATGCATCAAATTCCACCAGCTTAAAGAATCTTATGAAAATGTTCATAGGCTCTTCATGTTAATATTAAATAGATACAATATAAGGCAAATAAAGTAAATATGTAATTTATATTTGTAATTATATTTGTATTTTAATAGAATAAAGTTATAATGCATGAACAATTATATATAGTAAGATATTGGATTATATCTTCATGAATATGTAATATGAATGAAATATATAACTTGAAGCAACTTCAGAATCCAGGAAAGTAGAAAGGGACTCTAGGCATACAGAGGAAGAAGGAGCTCAAGAGAGGTGGGATAGAAGGACACAGGCACTAGCAAGAGGGAAATGGGAAAATAGGGTGACTTTAACTGAAAAGTAGGGAGGAAGGGTAATAACAGAGGAAAGGAAGGGAGGACAGGTAAGTAACACTAAGAATGTCTCAAAAAGCCATAGAGAAATATACTACTTTATAACCTTACTTTAAGAGACTCTTAAATGTATGTCTGTGCATGTGTATAGCTGAAGGTTATCTAACAAAAACCCCAATGCCTGGCAAGAGAAACCTCCCTTCAGAGGAGTCAAATTGACTCCCAAAACAATATAGGCTATCACCATAGTCTTTTTTGCTGCCTGTCTCCCAGAGCTTGAAAGTAAGATTTAATTGCTAAAGAAGCCATACAAGTTGAACACAGGACTTGGAAGAACTGTCTGGATCTTACCTGGAAGCCTCCTCCCAGAGGACTAGCTCTCATGATATAAGAAGTTACCATGCAAGGACTGTAGAGATGGCTCAATGGTTAAGAATACTGACTTTTCTTGCAAAAGGCCCGGATTCAAATCCCAGCACCCACATGGCAGCTAACAACTGTCTATAACTCCAGTTCTAGGGGATCTGACACCCTCTTCTGATGTCCGCAGACATTGCATGACACAGATACATTTGAACACATGCAGGCAATACATTCATACACATAAAATAAATAAAAATAATAAATAAAAGATTTTTTTAAAAAAGAAGTTACTATTCAAGCTGCCAAGGGAGAAAAGGAATATATAGTCCTACATGGGTGCCAAGCCTATGAACAACAACAATGACTAGCCCATAAATATATCTCTATTAGTGCAATAGTGACACTTTTATCTGGGGTTAATTATCAGCTGCCTAATTGGCCTTAAGATCAAATCAATAAGAGGAAATCAATGCCTGGGAATGTAATCACAGTCAGGTGCCCATGGATGGAGAGGTCATAGACGCTCAAGAAGGGCACACTGGCACCCCTATCCTCAGGCCTCTTGGGGTAAGTCTACAGGGCAGCTCTCCGTGCCTTGACTCCCCAAGCCACATTCACTCTTCCATCTCCCCCGCTGTTAGCTACACCTAGTGTGGGACCTGCACCACTCCTAGTCTTGGGGCCCCAGACACCTGGGGAACCAAAACTGGTTCCTGATCCTTCTCACCCAGACCAACTTAGTACCTTTCTTGGGCCCCAGGAGCACCGCTTCTGGTCCTGGCCCCACCCTCACCTCTCTCTGCATCCCTGGACCGGCACCACCAGCTAACTCTCCTAGCCTGCACCCCTATCCTCAGGCATCTTGGAGTAAGTCTA